GGGGCGCCGTCGCTCGTGCCACACGGTGCCTTCATAGAGAGACACTGGTTCTAATTGAGAGTTGGTGGAGGAGGAGGCGGTGGAGGGTGAAGAACGGCGGCGCGTGACGAGAATTTGGAAAGGAAGGAAGAGGGAGAGAGCGAGTGAAGTGACAAATGTGGAGAGGATAGAGCACAAGAGAAAGATGACTTCCATTTCTAATTGACAGTTGTGTCTTGGCGCAGCCCTTGAGTTCGAACCCCCTTGAGTTTTGCTGCCCGAGATGTATTGGTATAGGTCTTGCTGTTTTACACGTAACAGATCTCCCAAAAATTTCCAAATATCCACGTTTGGTACTTAGAAAGTTATTTTAGAATTTTCTAATACGTACCTGTTTGACCTTTTCGTTATAATTTTATAAAAAATTATAAAATGACACTTTTTTTTAGCATTGTTGTGGTGTGGTTGACTTGAATTTAATAGTTATAGATTAAAAGTTAATTTTATCTTTTTTAAATTTATAATAAATAATATATATCTATTACATTACGATTGAAGAAGGTTAAATATTAATTTTGATATCTTAACTTAATAAGTTTGCACTTTTTGATTCTTTGATTATTTTTTGTATTTTTTTAATCCCTTGATTCTAAAAATTGTACAAGTTTAGTCTCTCTATCAGTTAAGTATAATGCGGTTATTAAATAATTCCATATGACATTTTCTTTTAATTATTTTGATGATGTGGCAATAACATATCTTATAATTATGTTACATGGACAAAAAAAATGCCACGTTAAATGGATATTTATATTTTAATAAAAGAAATAAAAACAAACAAAATTACATTATTACCATCACCATCACCATCACCCTCACCCTCACCCTCACCTTCTCGATCCATCTTCTTCCCTTTCTTTCTTTCTCTTTCTTTCTTTCCTACCTTTGGGTTCGATGGAACCACTGAACCTAGATCTGCTGGGTTTCATCGAACAAAGTTGGGTTCAATGAGACCCCGGACAAGTGCTGGGTTCGTCGAGACCCACATCTACAGATTTCCTTGTCAAGTTCACCATGTTTTTTCATTCTTCTTTTGATTTCCATTCTCAATTCTTGATAAATTTGGGAGTTGATTTACAATTTGATTGCATTTTTGTTGGAATTTGATTAGAGTTTAATTGGAGTTTGATTGACATTGTTTATTGAGAAATTAATTTGATTTGATGAGATCTTTTGTGTTCATCAAACCCAGCAATTGGCTTCAACAAAACCTAGCAGCTGGGTTCAACAACGTAGAACCCAAATTCCGTTGGCTTCAATCTTAGTTGGAACAAAATGAGGAAGAAGATAGATTGAGGAAGAAGGTTTTGGTGAGAAAAGAGAAGAAGAAGATATAGGTTTAGATCGATGTTGCAGATGAAGTGGAGATCAGAGAGCATTCTAGGGCTTACAAATATTTTATCTCTTTATTTAATCTTTGTAGTGCAACGTGGGACCCATTTGAGAGGCATTTTGGAGTATTTGATTCGCAAGAATATATGATATGGCATCCATTTCAGCATCCTTTTTAAGTTGTATCATTCATGTCATAAAAAAAATATAAAAAATGCCACATGGATGAAGTTAATAGCTCAAATTGACAAAAGAACCAAAATTATGCAGTTCTTAGAGTTGAAAAATAAAAAAAATGCAAAAAATAATTGAGAGATAAAAAAGTGCAAATCGATAAAGTTGAGGGACCCAAATTAGCATTTAACCTTTTAAGAATACATATTAAAAAGAATCTAATTATTTTTCTCTCCTTTTTCCCAACCCTTACCAACCATTAAGTATAAGAAATGATGGGAGTTTCCACAATGCTATACTTACAAATTTATACTATCATATCATATATAATATTTGAATTAAAAAAGAAGAAGAAGTTAATTATAGCATGAAACTCATATAATATCCAAATGAAAAGAGCAAAATATATGATAATATATTATATTATAAGTTTATAACATTATATGATATTGTAATTATAGGATTTTTGTGAGTTTCATGTTTTATAATTTAAATTGCACTAAATTGTAAAATAAAAATTATTATACTAGAGAAATTTTCCATTCAATAATTTGAGTTATACAATCTGATATAATCTAGATTACTTCACCCTAATGCCCCTATGATTTGTTGTCTTTTAGGATATTAGCCTCCCAACACACAATACCTATAAATTAACCCTTTAACTACACATTGTTTGGGAAATTGACTCAAAATTGACAACAACCAATCACAAAGTGAATCCATGCCCTTAAGCCCTTTTAATTAATTAATTGAGTAGTGGGCCCCTAATTTTGTGTGTGTAGCGCTTGTTTTATCTACATAAGATTATGGTGGGATAAAAAATAGCCACATAAGGAGCATAAATTGTTAATTTTTTTGCTAAACTAGTATTGACTAGGCTTGGGTTAAGAAAAGGTAACGACCCCATGTGTTCTATGTTTCCTTACCGTTAAATTTGGTCTAATTTTGCTAAACTAAAAGACTTAAGAGGTCAAAAATGATATACAGTATGAGAGGATTGAAACCTTAAAAATACAACAAATTAAAGGGGGTTGAACCCTTAACTTTGTCTCTC